CATTCCCAACCCTATAATGGTGCCTGTCACATAATGGATGCTCAGTAAGTGTCTGTTGGAGGAATGAATTATGGGATAGCCAAGTGGAAACTTCTTGAGGAAACTGGAGGTGCAGACCTAGTGTGCAGTGGGAGTTGTAGATAAATGATTCAGAATTCAGCAGATCAGGGGTCATCTAAAGTCACGATAGATGGCATTCTTTCCAAGAAAGTCAATACAAATGAAAATTACATCCTCCGCTGTTCATTCAACTGCCCCTCTGTCCTCAGGCTGCCCCAGACAGGTAATATGGAAAGACTACCTCCAAAGACTTAAGAAATCAACTGCTAATTTAACAATGCTCGTTTTCTTATTTGGAGATCAGTGTCTGCAATCCTGTTTTGATAAGAATTTCACCAAAACAAATACTCTATTTTTATTAGATTCAAATTTCTAAATAAAGTTATACCTACCATTTCCTACAGTGGGAATAGTCCTTCAATGGGACAATAAACCATAGCTCTCAGGACAAATGAGGGTATGAATTAAGTTGCAAACATGCAGGCAAACCTTTAGCATGGAGTGATGGTTACCACAGTACAAGGTTATTTGGTTTCTTTAATCAAAACTACTAAGGGTTGATAACCTTGTATGTTCTCTTATCAAGCTAAATTATGCCTAAAATCTCACAATCTGATCAGCAGAGTATTACCGTATTACCAAGTATTACAAAGAGGTCGGATATCAGCTAGGCACAATGGTCCTCAAAGGACGCTGTCCTTTGAGACCTGTATTTAGTATCAGCCTAAGGAGGACCTTGTTAGAAATGCAAATATCAAAGCCCATCCCAGAACTACTGAAGCTGGAACTCTGGGCTGGCTCTGTTTCAGCAAGTCCTCCAGGTGGTTCTGTTACTTGCTCAAGTCTGAGAACACCTGAGCCAGAGAAAAATCCAGAAGTCCTCAATCCTACCACTAACTAGCTATGAGACGGACAAATCACTTAACCTAGGTGTGCCCAACTTTTCATCTGTCAAATGGAGACCATATTTGCACCAATTGTCTCATAGCAATAGTGTTATGAGGTTCAAATGAAGGGGAAAATACGGAAGTGATTTGAAAAATGTGTGAACAGTGTAGCATACAAAAAAATGTGGAGGCACTCAAACACCAAACTACTCAGGGTGTGGTGCTCAGACCCAGGAGCTCTAGACAGAAATGCAGAGTCTCAGCCCCAATCACTGAACTCACAAATTAGAAACTGCTTCGTATCAAGAGCCCAGGTGGTTAAGGTGAAGAACGATCTACACAGGTGTAAGGCATTACTTGTATGGGACAGGTGCAGTAATGAGCCAAGCAGAGGGGCCCCCTTGCTCCACACCTGAGCTCCTCCATCTCATGCTATCTCATGGTGGATCAGATATGTAAATGTTCTGAAAAGTTCCAATTTTGAGAATTTAGGAAGGTATTTGTGAAGTGCTACCGTACTGAGACAATCCATATTATTAGTGAGCTGACTTCTTGCCACCTGACCTCAATTCAAAGATTATAAAAACGTATTATCAGTATTATTAGTCACTCCTTTTGTAATTGAACTTCACACAAAATCATCTCATTGCCTCAAAAATGAACTGAGCCATTCACCGCAGCCACATAAAGGATCTGATCCTGCAGAAATTTCAGAGCGGGTACCTATTTTTTATACTTAAAACTATAGGGGTTATCCGGCTTTCAAGTAACTATTGGAAAGCATATGTTCCTTTTATCATTTTGGACTAATTAAAAATTAGAGTTGAAGAGGAGGATGGGGAATATTCCCTGAATATTCTGATGCTCCCCATTGGCACGCTCTGATGCCTTTTATGGTCAGGCAAGTTTGGGAAGAACTACAGCAGTGGTCCCTTATCCCCAGGCAGACACCTGAAACCATGAATAGTACTGAACCTTATACAGATCATGTTTTTCCTATCATACACACCTGTGACAAAGCTTACTTTAGAAGTCAAGCACACTAAGAGATTCACAACAATAATATACTGTAATACACGTTATGGGAATGTAATCTCTCTCAAAATATTGTCCCATACTCACCTTCTTGTGACGACGTGAGATGATAAAATGCCTACGTGACAAGATGAAGTGGGACGAGTGAGGTAGGCGTTGTGACCTAGCGCTAGGCTGCTTCTGACCTCCTGACAAGGTCACAAGGAGGGTCATCTGCTTCCTGACTGCAGTTGACTGTGGATCACTGAAACTTCGAAAAGCGAAACCATGGATAAGGTTCTCTAGATTCTGGCTCGGATCTCAGCCTGGCTTTCCACCGAGACCATTTGGGGAGCTCTAAAGAAAAAGTGCAGGAGCCTGATTTAGTTGGTCTAGACTGGGGCCTGGGCCTGGCTGTTGTCGATCAGCTTCCCCCGGTGATTCTGAGCATAGCCAGCATTGACCCGGAAGCCTAACGGGAGGCCCTGAGAGGACTGGAGGAGAGTTGGCCTCTATTATAGGGCTGAACTGTATTGACCCAAAATTCATATGCTGGAAATCTGAACCCCCGAAACCTCATAATGTAACCATATTTGGATATATGGCCTTTAATTAGGTGAGTTATATTACAGCCATTAGGGTGGGGCCTAATCATATCTGCCCGGTGTCCTTATCAAGTAGAGGAAATTTGGACACGTAAAGGTACATACAGAGCAAAGACCAGGTGAGGACACAGTGAGAAGGTGACCATCTGCAAGCCAAAGAGGCGTCAGAATGAAACCAAAACTGTGGACCCTGACAAGGACCATGACCTTGGACTTCCAGCCTCCAGAACTGTGGAAAAATGCATTTGTGTTGTTTAAGCTAGCCAGTCTGTGGTATTTGGTTATGGCAACACTTGGCAGGCCAATACATCCCCTATCTCAAGCCCAAGTTTTTTGTTTTGGGGGCGTTTTTTTAGTTTATTTATTTATTTTGAGAGACAGTTGAGTGGGGGAGTGGCAGAGGGAGAGAGAGGAAGAGAGAGAATCCCAAGCAGGCTCTGTGCTGTCAGCGCATATGGGGCTTGAACTCATGAAAACATGAGATCATGACCGGAGCTAAAGTCAGATGCTTAACTGACTGAACCACCCAGGCCCAAGCCCAAGTTTTAAAAGCATCCTCATATCCGAATGCATGTGAAACCTACAGAGTAGATCTTTCTCCTTTGTTTATACCTCCAGTAGAAACAGGAGTTAACACAAGCAATGGAGGTTCATGGAAAGGCATTCCAGATAGAGGCTCTTAGAATATGGTAAGTGAGCAAAAATGTTGCTCTCGGAGCGAGTCCATATTTCAATGCAGAAGCCAAAGAAGCACAAAACAGCTTTAAGATGACACTGAGAGGGAAAAAAAATTACTTCAAACATCAGTTCAATGGGCTGCCTTCACTAACCCCACAGATAAGTCTCCCATAGTGTCCTGGGCTTCTCCTTCACAGCACCTGTCACAATTACATTTAATTTCTGTTCAATAGTAATTGAATTGTCTAAATTAATCTGCTAGAAATGAAGCACAAGAGGGCAGAGTGTGTCTTGACTTGCTCAACATCTTATTTATAACCACTTGGCACATATTTGTTGAATGAATGAATGAATGAATGAATACTGCCACCAACTGCTAGCAGGGATGATACCAAAAAATTTTAACTCAGTTGATTAAATTTTGTTGATGAAATGAATTAACGAATAAATAAGTGAATGAAAAAGTGAATCAGTGACTGAGCACTGATTGGATGCTTGTGTTTCAAATGTATGTTAAATGTTTGCAAAATTCAGTTCCAATTAGATTTCACAGTAGTGATTACTCAAGAGGGGATGTCTCCCCTGAGTAATTTGGTAAATTGCACCTTTCTGCTGGATGCTTCAGTTCTAAGTACCGTCACATGCCTTGTGAATCATTTGGCAAATCTGCAAAAAAATGCCATATATTGGGGCATCTTGCTGGCTCAGTCAGAAGAGCATGCCATTCTTGATCTTGGAGTTGTGAGTTCAAGCCCCACATGGAGTGTAGAGATTACTTAAATAAAAAAAAAATAAAAAAAAAAAAGACTGCTAGGGATGCCTGGGTTGCTCAGTCAAGTTAAGCATCTGACTCTTGATTTCAGCTCAAGTCATGATTTTGCAGTTTGTAACATCGAGCCCTGAGCTGGGCTCTGCACTGACAATACAGAACCCACTTGGGATTCTCTCTCTCTCTCTCTCTCTCTCTCTGCCCTTCCTCTGCTCATGCACTCCCTTTCTCTCTCAACATAAACATTTTTTAAAAAAGAATGCTATATATACTGCATGTGTGTGTATACACACACACACACACACACACACACACATATGTTCCACACATCACTGCTGGATTCATGTTTGATTCAACAAGACTTAGATATTGACTTATGTGTCAACCTCACAGGGGCTAAGTCCCAGTCCACACCCACCCCCACCCTAGTCCAACCGCAAAGACTTGTACTTGATACGCAATAAAGTTTGTAGACAAGGCCTCTCGTTGTATTTTACCTTTGGGTAACATGGGATGTTTTTGTTCAAAACCATCAACAAATGCAGGTTCCCCAATTCAGAAACTTCACATTTCTGTTTGAGGATCCCATTTTTATTCAGGCTGGACTATTTGAGCACCAGTTTCCAAACTTTTGTCAGGTCTGGGAGCAGAGATTTCTAAGAACCAATAATTCATATGCACATCTCTTGAAGACTAAATGCATAATTCCCAGGCTATCTCTCCCAGGTTTTTGTGAACCAGTTTAAATGTTACAATAGTCTTTATTTTAAAATCCCAAATATTTTATCTTGGGAAATCAGCAATCCAGGTATAAAAAACCAGCAGGAAATGGCCAAATTTACTTCAGCATTTACACTGTGGTCAGTTTCTGCTCCTGGCTAATGATTTAAATTCCCTCCTGAAGCTCCAAAAGGCCCAGGGGTCATGGAAGAAGTTGTTCCATCTTGGTATTTTCATTTGACGGGTGTGTGGCTGCCGCAATAAACATTACACCTTTGGATTCTCTTCTTGAACTGATCGCCTAAATCGCAGGTCTGGGTTGGACACAGAAAAGAGTCGTTAGCACAGATATACGCCCTGCCTCACATCTCCGAAGTTAGACAAAATTCAAAATCACACAGCTTCTCATGCCTCCTGCCTTCTCATGCTAAGTTTCTTCAATTCTCCCCTGGAACGTCCATCATTTGGATGCCATCAGTAAATGCGATCCCAAAACGATGAATGGGTTTGTTTGGTTCCTCCCCAGTATTCATTCCCCTCTGGCCTCAGCTCCAGGTTTTCTTTGGGAAGCCCCTCTTCCCCATTCTCAGTCCTCGTGGTCTGTTAGGTTGTACCACCTCTATTTACAGATCTCTGATCTGGCAAATGAAATCACATTTTCATGGCCACAGCAACTGGTTCATAGTGCACATGTCACCCAGTTGGATCCAATGAAACACAGTGAGAATTCTGGGTGTCTCATTCCTTCCCACTAGACTTGAACCCGAGAAGGTACAAGAGGCTGACAAAAGGGTCTTGCAATTGTTAGGAAGAACCTATTTGAGAAAGGAGCTAACGTGGAAAAGAATGGAACAGAAAGAAACCAGGTTCTGGTAACATTGCATCCCAGCTTCTGGCCGCACCTCAAGCAAGAATTATTCTTGGATTTTTGCTGAAGCCAGCTTGGGTGGGTTCTTTTCATTGAACGAGTAACTGATACATGAGCAGTTCTGACCCTCTACCTTGAGATACATCATTTGGTTAAATGAGGTCTTCAGTGCCAACGCCCTTACTCACCATGAGCAGCATTGTGTTCCCTGACATGCAAAGGGCTTGTTTGCTGAAAGAGAAGAAAAGCAGTGGCCTCATCACTGGAAAAGAATACAGGCCCACCTCCTGTTGCCTCGTTGGTGGGATTTGTGAGCCCCCACCATTTTAAAATTAAGATATGGCAGATGAAGACCAAGGCTTAGCCACAGACACAGCAAAAAGGTTTGGTTTGGTCTTTTAGGGACAGTAATTCCATTAGTTTATCCGTTCATTTACAGACATTTACTGAGCATCGACAATATGCCAGGTAATATATTAGGACCTGGGGCTGTCAGAGTACAGATCAAGACTCTGCCTGCATAAGATTTGCAGTAGGGCCTGTAGATCCCATAACTACCTCGTGCTGACAATATCAATGTGCACAGATAGTGAATGGCCTGGCAGTCTCTTCCAACAAGGTCCTAACTTCGTAAATCGGTGGCATTTGAATTAAGATGGGTTTATGGTTGGGGTGCCTGGGTGGCTCAGTCGGTTGAGCATCTGGCTCTTGATTTCAGCTCAGGTCATAATCCTGGGGTCATGGGATCGAGCCCCACATCAGGTTCCATGCTGAGTGTGGAGCCTGCTTAACGCTTTTTCTCTCTCTCTTTCCCTCTGCCCTCTCCCATGCTCATGTGCTCTCTCTCTCTCCCTCTCAAATAAATATTTTTTTAAATATTTTTTAATGCTTATTTATTTTTGAAGGAGAGAGAGACAGAGTGTGAGTGGGGGGAAAGCAGAGACAGAGGAAGACACAGAATCTGAAGCAGGCTCCAGGCTCTGAGCTGTCAGCACAGAGCCCAACGCGGGGCTTGAACTCACGAACCGCAAGATCATGACCTGAGCCGAAGTCGAATGCTTAACCGACTGAGCCACCCAGGTGCCCCTCAAATAAATATTTTTAAAAAGATGGGTTTACTGTTTATTCATATTTTCCAGGACACCAAGGATGCCAGCAAGGGCTTTGGAATTAGAACAGGAATGAAACTGGTAAAATCTTTTTAAGAGCATGATATGGCAATTATCTATTAACATCATTATGTGCACGCCCTTTGGCAAAAATACTCACATAAAAATAATTAAAACAAAAATATTTCACTACACAGTTTTTAGTATTTAAAAAAACTGAAAATAACCCAAATGTCCATATATGTACAGACCGAAACAATGTCCGAAATACAGTACTAAGTGATGAGGGACGGGATTATGATACTATGTGTATAGTAAAGCCCCAGTTTTCTAATAAACAGAAAATGTTAGCAGATGCATATATGTTTGTGGATGCCCAGGGGAAAAGATCTGGAAGAATGTACACTGAATCATTCACACGGTGGGGTGAGGGCATTTTCCTTCTCGGTGGGATATACTTCTGTATGATTGGATTATAGAAAATATGCGTGCAAACTCCATGAGGGCCTTCACCATGACAGGTTGAACGAATGAGTATTATTTGTTAAATAAAAAATAGAGAAATGTTTAAACATAAAAAGTGAAGTGCCCCATGTCATTCTAGTTTCCTGATGCACTTTTCCCAAGGAGGCAAGTCTGTGTCACAGGGATCCGAAGGCGACCTTCACTCTCACCTCTACATCCCTCCTTTCCACGGTGAACGAGCTGGTGTTTGCTCTCTTCTCCATATCCTGCAGCTTGGCCAACTTTTCTATCAGGAACATTTTATCTTTGCCCTCCTGCCAAGAAGGAAAGCAAAAACAAGAACAAAAACATGGAGGTTGGTGTGAGCAAACGATGGAAAGAAGGTTTTTTGTTTTTTTTTTTTTTAGGCAGGTAGGGTTCCAGACACAGGATAGAGACTGCCACCATGTTTTCTCTTGATGAAAGAGTAGGAACATTTCACAGCAAAGCCAAATTAACCCATACCTTCCTGAATTGGCACATTCTCCACTAAAGCAATTCCAGCAGTCTCAAGTAGCAGCCTTCTCTATCCCGCAGCTAGAAGTAACTTACACGCCCAGGACTGTCTGAAGGCCCAGGACAAATGGTGTATAGCAGCCCCTTCTCGGCATGCCCTCCATCTCAGAACCCTGTCTGGGCACCCAGCACTGCCTGGGCTGGCCCTGTCTTCCCATTGAGAATGTCAAAGCTTATATAGCTCTGCATCGAGGGACATCAAACATATTTCACCTGGCAAAGTTATCAGTGTTAATGGAGTAGACCAGATAAACATCTCCCAAACTGGGAAGAGGAACAAAGGAAAGGGCTATGTCCTCCCCAGGAGCATGACTCACTTCCCTGTGAATCTGTTGCAGATGAGAGGGTGGTATAATCCACCAGTGTTGAAGTGGGCTAGCAAGCACCATTGATGGGCTGTCCGGTCTAGATCAATGCCATTTCTCACGCCCTTGTTTCTCCTTCAACTTTCAATCACTGATTTTAGCAATTAGCTATTATTATTATTTAGCATCCAACAATTATTGCTGTGGTATTTGCTTCATAATAATTTTCTATTTCCCTCATTCTTTCTACTTTTATTCACTGGAATTCTGCAAAGGAGAGCTGTCCTTGGGAAATGGCATTTTAAACAACTCCGCAAGGGGCACCTGGGTGGCTCACATTGGTTAAGCGTCTAACTTCACCTCAGGTCACGATCTCACAGTTTGTGGGTTTGAGCTCTGTGTCAGGCTCTGTGCTGACAGCTCAGAGCCTGGAGCCCGCTTCAGATTCTGTGTCTCCCTCTCTCTCTCCCTCTCTCTCTGTCTCTCTGCCCCTTCCCTGCTTGTGCTCTCTCTCTCTCTCTCTCTCTCTCAAAAATAAAATAAACTTTTTTTTTTTTAAAGCAAGTCTGCTAGCAGTCTTGGATATAGCCAACCTGTTTGTAAACTGCTGGTCTGTAACAGCTGTTTCCATACTTTCGTGCCAATTAGAATTACCTGGAGAGCCTGCAAAAATGCAAACTCAGGATTTATCCAACTCATCTTGACTCGGGGAGATAAACCTGCATTTTAGTTAAAAGCACCATTCAAATCCCACCATTTACTAGCCCTATGACTTTGGGCAGCTCACTTTGCTCTGTAAACCTTAGAATCCTTAATTTTAAAATAGGAATTAAAGATGTATATGTCCCAGTGCGAGTAATAAAAATTAAATCAGAATTTTTGTTCATTATTTAGCACATGTCAGGCATCATGTAAGTGCTCAACAAATGTTATCTGTTGCCACTACTGGTTAGAGGAGATCAGGGTAATTAGAATTTGCATTTTTAATAAGCATCCAAGAGTTACTGATGTAGGTGATCACACTTTGAGAAGGACTGTTATTAGCCTATTCACAGCCCCTTAGGCTGGGTTCCTCTGGAGACAATGTCCCTGTCTTTGTGGCGCATCCTCTGGACAAGATTCCCAAGCATGCAGGCCTGCAGTGATGCTTCTGGTGCCTCCCTGAAATGATGCCATCTAAATTCCTCCCCAGTTTACCTGGTACTGCCCTTACAATAGAAGGCTTTAGAAACAAATCTCTCACCTGGTAAGATCTCCGTAAGACTTGCCCAAAACAATTCAAAGTGCTACATCAGAAAAATACAGGTGATGCTTCTGGAGACGAGCAGGGGAGATCATAAGTAAACCATGCCCTTTCTTTACACCATCTAAAAGACCAGCTCAAATGATCTGAAACCCAAAGGTTCAAGCAGCTAGAACCGTGAGGAATCTTGGGCACCTGGGTGGCTCAGTTGGTTAAGCGTTGGACTCTTTATTTTGGCTCAGGTCATGACCTCATGGTCATGAGACTGAGCCCCAAATCAGGCTCCATCTGCATTGGGTATGGAGCCTGCGTGCGATTCTCTCTCTCCCTCTCTCTCTCTGTCCCTCTCCTGCTCACTCACATATGCGCTTGGCGCAGTCTCTTTCACTCCTTCAAAATAAATAAATAAACATTTAAAAAACAAAAGAACCCTGAGGAATCCTGCTTCTTCCCCAAGTTCTTAGATGTAAGTGTTCATGTCACAATTACATTGCTATTTAGAAGAAGAGAGAACATGGGGCGCCTGGGTGGCGCAGTTGGTTGAGCGTCCGACTTCAGCCAGGTCACGATCTCGCAGTCCGTGAGTTCGAGCCCCACGTCAGGCTCTGGGCTGATGGCTCAGAGCCTGGAGCCTGTTTCCGATTCTGTGTCTCCCTCTCTCTCTGCCCCTCCCCTGTTCATGCTCTGTCTCTCTCTGTCCCAAAAATAAATAAATGTTGAAAAAAAAAATTTTTTTAAAAAGAAGAAGAGAGAACAAGTCCAGTATCAACGAGCATCCATATTCCCAGACTGTGGTCTCTAAATACCATCTCACCAGGACTCCTTGAATAAATGTCTGACTGGTGTTCTGGGACAGGTAATAAACAAGAAGAGCCTGGAACATCTTGTCCTTTCAGAGAGCAAGAAAACTATCGAAGACTTTCTGGGGTCATGTCAAAAGAACCCGGGAACTAATTCAAAAGGAATTTGATTAGCAACGAATCAATGAGGCTATTTAAGCATAAAAAAATTATTACAATTGAAAGAAGCAAAGTATACTTAAATCTATGAATTCATAATGATAATTTAAAAATTCTCACTGGCCACATTTTGGGGTTGCTAGGAGTAGTTGGTTGAATAGTGTCTCCTTTGTAAAAATATTTGTCCAAGTTAAACCAACCCCAGTACCTGCGAATATGGCCTTGTTGGAAATAAGGTCTTTGCAGACATAATTAAAAGATTGTCGGATGAGATCATTCTGAATGAGGATGAACCCTAAATTCAATGACAAGTCCGTAGAAGAGAAGGAGAAACAGGCACACAGAGAAAAAGAATTTGTGAAGATGGAGGTAGGAATGGGAGTTATGAAGCCCTAAGCCAAGGAACAGCCAGGTTAGCCAGTGGCCACCAGAATAAGCTAGGAGAGGCATGGAACAGATTCTCAGAGCTCCAGAAGGTACCAACTTCCTGACACCTTGATTTTGGACTTTGGCCTCCAGAACTATGAGGTAACAATGTTCTGTTATTTTAAGCCACCAAGTTCGGGGTTATTTGCCATGGCAGGCCTTAGGAAATGAATACCCTAGGGTATCAACTCAGCATTTCAAAAACTGGTCAATGAAGGGGGAAAAATCATGCATTTCTCTTTCCTCTATAAACTTTATTTCAAGGTAATAAAATAGTTGATGAGCAAAAATTCTTTTTTTCATAGAAAAATTCTAGCTAATAAATGCAAAAGAAATTGTAGGATTAGAGTACTACTGTTCTGTCATTTCTAACAAAATCAGTGGGTCTTCTAGGCAATACTCCTCAAAGGCTGCAAAATCCATCAGGTGAAAGGAGAGTGGGGAGCTTTCTGATGGATGGGTCAGGCTAACAAAGCATGGACCCACTGATCACTTTTCACATCACACAAAAAGAGACATGTAGACATTTTATGTCTCAAGGGGATACCCTAAGAAGTGCATAGCATCATCTATGAAGTGTTCTGGCTAAAACACTGAAATGGATTTAGCCGGGTTTTTTTTTTTTTTTTTTTAACGTTTTATTTATTTTTGAGACAGGGAGAGACAGAGCATGAACAGGGGAGGGTCAGAGAGAGGGAGACACAGAATCTGAAACAGGCTCCAAGCTCTGAGCTGTCAGCACAGAGCCCGACGCGGGGCTCGAACTCACGGACTGTGAGATCATGACCTGAGCCGAAGTCGGACGCTTAACCGACTGAGCCACCCAGGCGCCCCAATTAGTCGGGTTTTTAAATCTCCATGCCAGGGTACAGGAAATAAAAAGAAGCATACTAAATACCACCACAAGGCTGCAAATCAGATATATCCAGAATGTGAGAACTACTACAAGACAAAGGACCTGTTTTCTTCAACGATAAATGGCAAAGAAGAAGGGAGGGGTGAACAATTATAGATTAAAGGAAACAACAGACATATGGACCAAATGCAACATGTGGCACTATTCCAGACCCTGATTTGAACAACTCGACTGTAAAAAGACACTTCATGGGACCAATGGGGCAATTTCACCTTTGATTACATGTGAGACGATAATAAGGAATTATCAAGTTTTCTTTTAGGTATGATGAGGGTATTATGGTTATGTTTTTTTTTAATCTCTCTCAGACACATATAAATTTTTACAGATAAAATGATATAAAGTCTAGGATTTGCTTTAAAACAATCCAGATATTTGCAGTGAAGGGTTAGTGTAGATAAAATAAGAATATACCAAAAAAAAATTTAAGCTTATTTATTTATTTTTGAGAGAGAGAGTGTGTGTGCATGAGCAGGAGGGGGACAGAGAGAGGGAGAGAGAGACAGAGAGAATCCTAAGCAGGCTCCGTGCTGTCAGTGCAAAGCCCAACGTGGGGCTCAATCTCTCAAACTGTGAAATCATGAACTGAACTGAAATCAAAAGTCAGACTCTCAACCGAATGAGCCACCCAGGCGCCCCCAAGAGTATACAAATGTTGACGGTAGTTGGTGCTGGGTGGGGGGGCAGATGTAAGTTCGTTGTACTATTCTCTTTTGGAGTATAACTGCAAGTTTGCATTATAAAATGTTTACAGAAAAGTGGGAGGATGGGGCGCCCGGGTGGCTCAGTCGGTTGAGCATCCAACTTCGGCTCAGGTCATGATCTCACGGTTTGTGAGTTCGAGCCCCGCGTCGGGCTCTGTACTGATGGCTCAGAGCCTGGAGCCTGCTTCGGATTCTGTGTCTCCCTCTCTCTCTCTCTACCCCTTCCCTGCTCACAGCTTTGTCTCTGTCTCTGAAAACTGAATAAACCTTAAAAATATATATATATAAAAAAAAAAAAGAAAAGTGGGAGGAGGATACCAGAGGAGCTAACTGAACTTACATTAATAATCTGTTCATGGAGCAATCTGATCATAATCTTCCTTCCCTCTGTGATCTGCCAGTAAAGATAGGTGATGATTCTGGAGAAGAAAAGAAAGAATGACAGACACTTTTGCCAATATTTTGCAGGCCCCAAATTCCAACTGGTCTCAAAGGAACTGAGATATTCTCTTGCAAGTGGATTTTGTCCCAACAGTTTTCCTGAAAAGTTGTGTCTGGATGAATTACAGGTTCAATACATCCAAGCAACCTGGCTGCACGTGGAATCACATGAAAGATGGAAAAAAGACTCATTCCATGGCCTGTCCTCGGATTAATTAACTAGCATCTCTGGGCATAGGGCCAGACAATAGTATTTTTTTTTTTATGTTTATGTTTTTATTTTGAGAGAGAGAGAACACTTGGAGGAGGGGCAGAGAGAGAGAATCCCAAGCAGGCTCCACATGTCCGTGCCGAGCCCAATGCCGGCCCCATCCCACGACCCTGGGATCATGACCTGAGTTGAAATCAAGAGCCAGACGTTCAACCGACTGAGCCATCCATGCACCCCTATTTTCTTTCTATTTAATATGGAGCACTCCATTGGTAGTATAACCACATCCAGACCTGTCTTCAAACATTAAATTCCAGGGGCGCCTGGGTGGCACAGTCGGTTAAGCGTCTGACTTCGGCTCAGGTCATGATCTCACAGTTTGTGAGTTCGGGCCCTGTGTCGGGCTCTGTGCTGACAGCTCAGAGCCTGGAGGCTGCTTTGGATTCTGTGTCTCTCCATCTCTTGGCCCTTCCCCTGCTCATACTCTGTGTCTCTCTGTTTCTCAATAATAAATAAACGTTAACAAAAATTTTTTTTAATAAAAAAAAACACAAAAATTAAATTCCAGGAAGAGATGATGATTAAGAATCATTCAAGTATTGCCAAATATAAATGTAAAATAAAACTTGGCTGTAATATAACTATCTCACAGACTTCTAAATCAATCTCCCATGTATTTTAAGTTTACAAAATAAATTCCCACAAGAATACAGAATGAACATAGCATAAATTCTCATATGGAATATACTTACCTCCAGAAACTATATCAGTTAAATTGGATAATAAAGGCTTGGAATCAAAAATTTCATAAAAGGAAAAAAAGATGTGCCCAGTGGGTAATATGAAACTCAAAGTATCTTCTTAAAATAGGATCATTTAGGGGTGCCTGGGTGGCTCAGTCAGTTAAGCATCTGACTTCAACTCAGGTCATGATCTCGTGGCTCCTGAGTTTGAGCCCCGCGTTGGGCCCTGTGCTGACAGCTCAGAGCCTGGAGCCTGCTTCAGATTCTGTCTCCCTCTCTGCCCCTCCCTGACTCATACTCTGTTTCTCTCCCAAAAATAAACATTAAAAAAAACAGAAAAAAAGAAAAGTGAATGATAATTTCAATTCCTGTTCCAGTATATCCAGCACATCTACCTTTAACTCGAGCTTGCTGAGAACCACATCTCCACCCCATACTGAAACCTGTAGATCTGATGGCTTTAAATTCTTGATGTAGCAATTCACAGAGCTCATCAAAATTAGAGTCACATGTATGCCTCCGGCATCTTTTCAGGTGCAGAGGAGTAAAAGACAGAAAGCCAAAGAGTACCGTGGAGTCCCCTCCACCTCAGGCATCTGGCACCCACCCCTGGCGGTGGGGCCAGAAATAATTGTTTTTATTTGAAAACAAAAGAACGCTGTCACACATATGAACAATGCCCAACCCATTTGAACATAATGCCAATCTTAGAAAGTATCACACATATAATTTTCCTAAGCATTCTCAAATCCAAATTTTCATTTTGTTTTCATGCTATTTCTTAAAAGGAGACAGAGCAGGTATTGCTTTCTTCATAAAACAGGCAAAAAAAAAAAAAGCTCACAAAAAACAAAAAATGAAAACACCTGGGACAAGATGATAGTAAGCAACTCTTAAACTGGGTGGCTCAGTCGGTTAAGCGGCCGACTTCAGCTCAGGTCATGATCTCACGGTCCGTGAGTTCGAGCCCCACATCGGGCTCTGTACTGACAGCTCAGAGCCTGGAGCCTGTTTCAGATTCTGTGTCTCCCTCTCTCTGACCCTCCCCCGTTCATGCTCTGTCTGTCTCTCTGTCTCAAAAATAAATAAACGTTAAAAAAAAAAAAATTCAAGGGCAAAGTCAGGAGCATCCAGAACACTGAGCTACACTGTAGCCGTTTGCTCTCCTGGGAAACATTCCCCAGACTATCCACATGTCTTGTTAATGACACGTTTTCTCCACCAGTTTCCCAAAGCACTCCACTTACAACACAATGAGGGTGAGGATGAAAAAGAAGTGCACGCTTCCGATGAGGTTCTGGTAGATCCAAACAACCCACAGGTAGCCGGGCCTTTTACTCAGGGTATCGATCCAGCTGTAGATGGAGTGAATGAAGAAGGGCAGACCTCGAAATGGGCCACAATCAGCTGAAGGTTTCAATCTGGTAAAACGGGAGACAGGAAAACATCTGTAGCGTGAGACTCTGGTATAGCTTGTTCTAAAACCAAACTGTCCTTTCTGGGTTCTGGACCTGGAACCAGCAATGCCTGCCTGATGTACCCATACCCTCCCTCCCAAGGAAGCTCTCTCCCTCACGGCCTCAACAGGTATGTTTTGTCCGTGTGACCCCACTGAGGCTCAGCTCCCAGACAGGGTTATATCATCTGATCTAATGGTAGCCGATCCCAAGAGTGGCAGTGAACTTTGTGGTATCCTGGCTTGAATAAATGAACTGGGTGATCAGATTCTTTTTCTTGGGAACTTGAACTAAGACATATGAAGAAGGGACCCTGCAATCTATGGAAGGTGAGGTTGTGGCAATGAGGGCCACATGCAGTCAGTTGTTATGAATTAGCAGAAACTAGCAGGAAACTAAGAACTGGTTAGGAAGAGAGAGAAAAGAGAGAAGCAAAGACATCATAAAACAGAGTAGCCTGCCCTGAAGCCACTTGAGTTCCTGATGGTTCCAGTTCCATCTGTATCCTAAAAATCAACTCCTGGGGCACCTGCGTGGTTCAGTCGGTTAAGGGTCCAACTTTGGCTCATGTCATGATCTCGCGGTTCATGAGTTCAAACCCCACATCAGGCTCTGCACTGACAGTCTGCCTGGGATTCTCTCTCTCTCTCTCTCTGACCTTCCCCCCACTTGCTCTCTCTCAAAATAAATAAACTTTAAAAAAATCAACTCTTTTGTTTGTTTGCTTCATTCATTCATTCTATAAAAGCTTATTTCACCTGTTCCAAGTACTGTGCTAGATACTAAGCCCTTGGGGATTCCATAGCAACAAGACAGACATGGTCTCTGTCCTCCCAGGTTTACATTTTAGTAAGAAAAATGGACAACTAATGAGCTAATGATTAAACAAAGATTCAAGCAAAGGTATTTCTGACTGTGAACGGTGGAGGGAAGAAAAGAAAGTGCCCCTAGAGGGAGAAGAGGTGGGAAAGACAGTAGGCAAGCATGGTCATGAAGGTTAGATCTTGAGGATGACTTCTGAGCTGAGACCCAGAGTGGGGGACAGAAGGCCGCCAGGCAGAGGGAGTGGGGAGAACACACAAAGGACTCCACCTTGTGTTGGGAGAGGCTCACAGGGTCCCAGGAATGGAGCAAGAGTCATGAGGATGAAGGAAGGGTGGAGCCAACGTGGGGTGAGGTTGGAGAGCGAGGAGGGAACCAGCTCAGACAGGGCATTTCGGTTCATTTAGTGGAAGTTTAGTCCCCATTCTGGGAAACTGCAGGCCTCTAGGAAGTGAGGAAGCCCTGCCATCACCTGGTGGGTGATGACCAAACTAAGACACATTCGCTCCTTTGGCTGTTGTGTCTGCTGGTTACCAAGGGGACTTGGGTTCAATACTGTATTAAGCACGTCTTCTTACTGCGATGTTTTGACATCTGGGGCCTTACAGACCCTGGAGAGATAGCCCCTCCCGGGAGCTCCCCTACATGGTATGTTTTTTCCATGCAAAACAACCAACCCAGAGCCCACACCCCACCCTCCACCTCCTCCATCAGGCTCTCACACTCAGGGTCACTCTCCCCCTGCCCTGAACCCCACAGGGCCAGGTAACCAGATAAATCCAGACAGCCCCCAAAGCCACTGAAATTGTTCAAACGAGCCAATCCTAAACCTGCCTATCCTCTCTCGCCCTTTCCTTCCCAGGGAAACCACAATAAAGGTTCTTTTTT